ACAAGTGTAATATCCACTAAAGCAAAGCTTAAGTATATAACACCAACAGTACTTGCCCATGAACTTCTCGTAAACGGCTTTCCACGTGTTGAGTGAATTCGGAAGCAATGTCATGAACCAAGTCTTGGCTTGGTCTTTCAAGGTATAAGGGAAGCATCTCATGCAGAGTTGGTTTTCGATTAGGACTTGGAGGGGAAAGGTGTTAACGGTGGAGTAGAATTCCTGGAAGAAGTTTAAGGCATCTTCTTGGGCTAAGCCATAGAATGAGGGAAGTTGGTTTAGGTGGATGGTTTTGAGATCATAGTTTTGTGCCGCCTCCCCGAGCACAAGGCACGAGGTGTTTTCTCTAATGATAGGTCGTGCAAAGTACCTCATGTTCGGGGGCGGTTGTGGAAGTTGGTCTCCTTGTCCCGCCATTGGTTCGAGTTCGAGTTGCGGTTGTGGTTCTTCGATATTAAGCTCAACGAAAAGTTCGAGTGGCGGTGTCTCCTCTCGGGGTCTACGCCCTCGTTTACCTCGCATAAACAAAAACAACAACTATACCCGGTGAACGTGCCAATGGGAAGCAAGATCGAGACACAATCAACGAACACAAACTACCAAGAAAAAACAAGAGAAATAAAGAGAAATACAATAATTAAGCAAAAAGCACAAAAATCAAGAGAAACACCAGAAAAAGGAACAATCTGTTGGGTTCTATTAGGAACGTCGCCGATGTTCACATTCAAATCTATTAAATAATAAATCCTAACGCAGCAGAACCTATAGTTAGGATTAGGACTTACGGTTTAAAAAATTTTTCCGACTCTGAGACGTTTTTGATTTCCGTTGATGGAGATCGTCTGAACACCAAAGTCCAATGGGCAACTGGACTTGGCTTTTCTCGATTCTAATAGAGTCATCTAGGTGCTCCAATCGCTCATCAAGCTCATCGGATCGTCCCAGACCTTCGGTAGGTGAATCAAACTGCTCGAAACTCACCATTGGGTCAAACCGGGGCTTCTTGACCAAGCTGGACTGGTTCGGGCCGGGCTGGACTGGACTGGGTCGGGTCGGGCCTGGTCTGGTCTGGTCTAGGCTGAACTAGGCACGCAGGGCATGGCTCGCGCACGCTGGGCCGAGGGCTGCACGCTGGGCCGAGGGCTGCACGCTGCCGGGCTGCTGGTGCACGGGTGCACGGGATGGGCGAGCGTGCACAACGCTTGCATGCAGCGCGCGCGGTTCTTCTACTCTTGTGCGGACTGGGACGTTGGCGGACGTGCGCGGCACGTCTCCTAGGCGAACGCGGACTAGGCGTGTGCGTCATCTCCACACGATAGGACTCCTGTGCTAGAGGTACTCTGTAAAAGCTCCTATTGACAGATTCTATCAATTCCATTTTGATCTGGCCATCATGTTTCGGTCAAAGTACATATGCTTGCAGTTTATTTATTTATGCAATCATACTCCATGTCTTATGTTGAGGTAGTGTGGTTCGAAGAGTTTCGAACAGAAAGGTCACCTATCGGTTCCTTATAAGACTAATCTATTCGTTCACAGTCTCGACTGGCAGTGAGACCCCACTTGGAAAAAGACTGTAGTGTATTCTTGATTCAGTTGGTCTTTGACTGGAGGATTACACTAGCACTTATGTTAAGTGTTGAACAGGACCACAGAAGGATAAGATTATGAGACTCACCGACCGTTGTTGTAATCTAGACCTTCAGTAATTGATGCGTACTCTTAAGCTATAAGATAATATAAAATGGGCATATGTATTCATTACTTATTTATTTGATTTATCAAGGGTGATTCCTATTTTGCTAGGATGACATACTCGGTATTTTGGTAAATAAGTGTGTTTACATGATGTGCAGTTATAAATTATTTACGGTCACTGTGTCCCAGTACGCTGGGTTGATGACGTCCCCGAAATGAGCTCAGGAAGGAATATTATGTCAAGCCCTGCAGGCGGATGTGTTATCCGGCATAATGATTAAGGATTTGAGTGGTACTAGTTTCGAATATGAATAAGAAGTTGATTAATTATTTTGTCAGTAATTTAATTAATCAACGGATGTTATATCTTAAACATGGGGAGATAAATCGATCAATTGGATTAATATATTTAATCAGTGGAAACGAATTAATTGTAATTCGGAGGTAAATGAGGAGAGCAATAATATTACTCTAGTGGAATGTTTTATTATTTAATTCCAAGATTAGGAATTAGGAATTAATATTATTCCATATTAATTAATTTAATTAGAAAAATAATATTCCTACTAGGATCTTCTCTAGGGATTAGGAGACTAAGGAGTCTTCTAGAAGATGAAGACTAGTAGGAGATATATTTCCTACATTAGATTATTAATTGGAGTAGAATTATGTTTCCTAAATTAGGAATTAATTATATTCCATAATTCCGTAAGGATGGGAATATTCCTTCTAGAATATTACCTAGGGTTAGGAGACTATGGAGTCTTCTAGCAGGTAATTAATTATTAAGAATATTATCCTAGATGGGAAAAGGAGATGGAAGATAATAAGGATTCCTAAACCTAAAGGAATAAGCCCATATTTAGCACCTCCTTTAGGTCCCTATTGTAGCCTATAAATACACTAGGTCCCCTAACCTTTTGAGCAAGCTTTACACGTTTTTTTCTCCCCGAAGGGCTGGAGAAATTCGGCCTTTTAAAGCGAGAAGAAAAGATAGAGATTCTTCTTCGAGAGAAAATTCGGTTAGCACCGTAAGGTCTTAGAAGAAGATGATCAAGAGGTTTTTGGAAATCTAATAAATCGCTCCACCAAGATTTATTAGAGATCGTGTAAAGGTCATACAATAGAAGATTCGAAGGTTGTTATTCGTATCCCGTCGAATAAATATATTTCCAGCTCGCGATCAGGTACTTGATCCATTGTTCGCGTTAAATTGACGCAACACGATGGGTAGCGCGATGGCGTGCGACGCCTTCTTTCTGTGCGGAGGTCGCAGGTTCGATCCATTCTCCTTGCGAAAATAGGAGTTTTTTTGTTGCCAGGAGAATAGAAGAAACGCGCGGGCCGTGCGGCCCGTCCAGGCCCGCGCCTCTCACAGATCCCAGCCCGCGAAGCCCACATCCAGCCCGGTGCCAGCCCGCGTGCTCCCAGCCCATCTCCGTGGCCCATATGCGCATCTCCTCGGCCCAATCCAGCCCGCGTGCATTACCCAGTTGCCTTGCGGCCCAGTTGTTCACCTTGTGCGGCCCAGTTCGCGACGCAATAAGCCCAGCAGCGTGGAAAGCGGCCCAGTGCGTCTT